AAAACCGTAAAACTGATCTTACTAGTGCGCACTTATTGCAATATGTATGACATCCAATCCGTAGAACATATTGAAATAGTCCGACGCCATATGCTTATTGACTTTAATTGCACATCCAGAGTCTAAGCTTCAGAGAAATGCACGTATAATGGTAATAGAAGCAGACGTCTTTTTTCGGGTGGATACTTTTCATAAGTAACGAGTATCCACTCTAAAGAACTAAGAACACAGAAGCTACACATCACGCGGTGCTGATCCAGATAAGTGACGTCAGACCAGTCACGCCATCACAATCCGCGTGTATGACGAACAGATTGTGTGGCTGATGTGACGTAGCCGTGACCGTAGGTGACGCAGTGATTGTTCGCGTAATTATGTCGTAATGATGACGTGGTGATGACGTAATGATGACGTAGTGATGACGTGGTGATGACGTAGTAATGACGTAGTGATGACGTAGTGTTTTTGCTGTTAGACCAGGCGACGGCTGGATGGTGGATCACTACGAGCAGACGATTCTCATGCCGACGTATATCGTCGCCATAGTCGTCTGCGACTTCACGTACACGGAGAGAACGACACCTGACGGCAGAATACGCGTACGGAGCTATCACAGGGCTGAGCAAATTCATATTGGGGGAAAGGGGGGGGGGCAAAATTTCATGACTCAACTGTGTAATGATGAGCGACGGTCGCAGCTCTTGATCGACGTCCATAGTGTGGTAGGGGTGGGTCTGAGACAAGGCTTTCATAAATAAGTGACCAAAAAAATCTTTACAAAATAAAGCCTTTTTAGGTGTGTTTTAATTTTGCTCCAAAATCTAGGGGGCAGCTGTCCCCCCTTGCCCCCACAGGCTACCGCCCTGTATCATTACCATTCTCACTCATCACATAGATAGGCTCTATTCAATATTGGTACACAGCGCTCGTTTCATCTTAGGTACTAGACACTGCTGGGTTTATCCTACTATGCTCTACTTCTACTCTTCGCTCATTTCGTTATCATATTCTAACATGAGCTTTCTGTCAGCTCTATCTGACATGGTTCCTTTGGGATATTCTTCAAAGCTTCAGCAAATAAGGTCCATGTCAGCGATAAACATATTTGTTAAAGGGCAGGTGCCGTCAAATATCTGTTCTACGATATGTAATGTGTGCAGTGTAAATACGCGTAACAATGTTTATTGACAAAAAACTGTATGATGTCTATTATCTTATTATGTAGACTTGTAGATAGTGACACAAATTACGGCCAGTCATCGGATAGTGCACGAAGAAACCTCACATGCACCGTTCACGTGTGTCGATGGCGTAATTAAGATGGTCTCTTGTTTTAATTCGCACAGATGAGGGCCTACTCACAGAGGGCGCTGCAGCCGTACGTGAATTCGACTCTGGAAGCTCATATCAGCATGGTGCCGTACTTGGAGGGGTATTTCGGCATCGAATATCCATTGAGAAAAATGGGTGGGTTCTGCTAACTCGATAACCTTCCGCCGCTGAAAATAATCCTTAACACATACATGCGCACGCACACACACGTGACACGCATGCACACACCACACACACATACACAAACACACACACACTCTCTCTATAACTAACAAACCTCTATACTCTAGTTAGTCGTCCTCTCTATAACTAACAAACCTCTATACTCTAGTTAGTCGTCCTCTCTAACTAACAAACCTCTATACTCTAGTTAGTCGTCCTCTCTATATAACGAACGTCTATAGGAAACCTCTATACATACTCTATACGGACGCCATGGCTGTCGCTGCGCCTATTCGCGTGACGTCATCACGCTGGCAGAACTCCCGGACACTCTCGCATTGCGTCACATGTCGCCATTACGCAACATTAGCTTTCGAAGTATGAAGAAATTTGGCAATTTATTAGATTTCGTCGGCAGTAAATGCAACGAAATATCTTTTTATCAACCTTGTTTCGAAGCTTCCGTTCAGCATATATAGCACGATGATAAATTCTAGTGTGCCGACTGACATATTGGTTTTTGTACAGAAATATACGGCAGAATCCATATCACGTCGCCGCCGCTGTGGACGTGTGTGTTTTGGGATAATACGCTCGGTAATCTATCTTGTGTTGCCGGAAGCGAATCGAACAAAAGTTCAACATTTCCGCTGCGCCAATCCTTTATTATGTTTATTTGCCTAAATCGAATAGAAATCAAATCATTGCTACGGCGGCGGTGGCGGTGATGATATATTGGTATAGAATTTCTAAGCGAGTTATAATGCACGTCGGCCTCTGCGCCCGTAGAAATGAAAGCGATCGGTTATTTATTGGATTTTCAAGTAGGAAACCTATAAAAACCTATAAAATTTTGCTTCCATAGTTTTTTCTCTCTCATATATATGAATACATATGAATATACGTATATATATATTCATTAATATAAGAGAAAAAATAGAGAATATTATATAGTGATATATGGCTCGCAAGTTGAACATAAATCCTGGGTTTGCTCGCCAATATAAAACGTTTTGCGACTCCGCATGACGTCACGAAAACACGCGCGCCCCTTTTTCTACACTAATCCCTGGACGGCTAGGCCCATATAAATACATACATATACGCATATATATGTATATATATATATAAATATATAAACATATACGAATATATATATATGTATGTATTTCTATGGCTAGGCCTCTAGACATCTATCACAGAAACAAACATCCATCCGCGCTCCTTTCTTGCTCACTAACCGAAACTAGTACGTGATATTTTCGAAAGTTAAACATTGTAAATGCTTAATAGTAATAATAATAATTATTATTATAATAATAATAATAACAACAATAATAATAATAATAATAATAACAACAACAACAATAATAACTCGCAGTGCCAACGGTTCGCTTTATGTCCAGCAGGGGGCAGCAGGTGTGTGTGCCAAACGATCACGCATGTAGTCTCTCGCACAAACTCACTGCACTCTTTATGGCAACCATTGAAACAGTGAAACACCCAAGTGTTTGCTCATCCTTGTGTTTTCGAGTCTATCATGATGTAACAGCAAAATATATTAAGATTCTTGTTTGTTCCGTCGTTCATCCGACCAATACAAAATTGTTTCGGGATTGCCATGGCAACTAGTCGAAAGCGAGCTGACGAGAGGAGCTCCTTTATATCTGCGTCAATGTTTGATTTGATCGCAGACGTTCGATTTTATTCTGTGCGGCGGCGGAGGGTGGGGGGGGGGGGGTTGTAACCGAATGCCATACATGTTTGTCATTGCCTTCCACACATGAGCGTATTTGAGTTTCAACATAATAGAATACACCGATGTGTCGCTAAGCGTTAACTGTAACGTCAGAGTTCGACTTGATATATAAGAATAGTAACAATATTGTTACGTCTGAAGCCACTAGATAGAACCTGTGCTGCAGCCACCTGCCATCGTCATCGTTATCGTTGTCGCCGTCACTGCCGCGCCTTTCTGCTACTGCTGCTGCTGCTGCTGCTGCTGCTAAACATTGGAGCGGAGGGATACTACCGCGTGCAATACGACGAGAGAAACATGGACGCCATCATAAAACAATTGAACAACGACCCAGAGGTAAGCTTTAGTAGGGTAAGTTCTAGTGTTTAGGTTGGGGTTAGGTTTAGATTCAGGGTTATTATGTATTTATTTATTATTTTATTATTATATATTATTAATTATGCGCAAGTATACTGTAAGTATATATAGATACTTGGGGAAAATGCAAAGATCATGGTGAGAAGAAGGTTAGGAGCTTGCAGTGTTGATCTATTTGAAAAATGTGTTTAAATAGCATACCTAAGAATGCATTACGAAGTATTGAATTACGAACTTTCACGACATGACTCATTTCGAGAAATCGTTTTCAGAAAATCGGTGAAAGTAACCGAGTGCAATTAATCGACGATGCCTTCATTCTCGCTGAGTAAGTATAAATACATCCCACTGGACACTACTGGACAATACTGGACAATACTGGACAATACTGGACAATACTGGGTCCATCCTACTGGACAATACTGTGGTCCATCCTACTGGACAATACTGGGTCGATCCTACTGGACAATACTGGTTTATCCTACTGGACAATACTGGGTCCATCCTACTGGACAATACTGGGTCGATCCAACTGGTCAATACTGGGTCGATCCTACTGGACACTACTGGCGATTAATTCTGCTGAAAAGAGGCACTTTTTAACGGAGGGGTGGTCCCGTTTGCACCTACAGCCTAGCATGTTGCGCTACCGGCCACTTGTTAGATGGGCTCCTGATCGCTTTCACGGCTTTATATTTAAACTTCAACAATCTCCAGTCGTGAACTGAACTCAGCATTAGCACAACACAGTTCCATATATATTTATTTTATATTATAGTTTTAGTATTAAATATAGTTAGTAGTTTTCGTATTTTATATTATATAGTATAGTATTAGTATAGTTATTTTGGCGGATGCGTTGGTGCTCTGATGAAACATGGGGCACGCTTCCCGGTTGTCAAGCATATAGGTCCCGCCATTATTAGAAAATATTGTTAGAAAACAGCGTGAAACTGATTGATGGAGTCTCTTCTTGTTTCTTCTTGTCGTGGAGATCGGATATATTGGATTACATAGTAGCACTGCGAACCACCGAGTACATGCAGAAGGAGACGGAGTACGTGCCCTGGTACTTGATGCTAAAACGATTGGGATATACCGATATGATGCTAAGAAGCAGGGAATCCATGTTCAAAGAATTTCAGGTAATCTTATTTATTTAATTATTTATTTGTTTATTTACTTATTTATTTGTTTATTTATTTATTTATTTATTTATTTATTTTTATTTTTATTTTTTTATTGTAAAGACGCTACATTGGTAAAGGATATAATAACCTTGCGAGCTCGTGCACCGTCATTGTAATAATAAAAAATTAACATAAAATATGACCTGTTTCCTAACTTCGACAGGTGTAGTTTGACGCGCCCCATTAGCCTATATTTCTAA